AACTCAAAATAACACTCTTATCAAAGTCAATCCGGGCAGTATACCGGCTACCCAACACAATTGCCCAAGATAAGCTTTCTCATTGAGCTTACCCGCCAAAGTCATAGCCTCGTAGCATTGAGATCTGCAAAGTAAAGGAATACAAGCCAAGAAACGCTCGAATGTGCAATATCAATTTCGACTTCTACTATTTTTCATTCGGCAAATGCAGCAATCCCAATTTATAGTATCCAAAGATCCCTTTCTACCCAGTTCTATCGATACAAGTTCCCTGCGAGCGTTCCCTCTTGGTAGACTCAATGTACTCCTGCCGGGTCTGGAACTCGAAATTTGGAGCAACCATTGTACCATGGTATAGATCATACGGTAAAAGGATACTGTCCAAATTCGACTTGTTCACCCACTTATCCATAATATTTTCCCCGTGCTGCGCTTTGGCATCCTCAACCAAGGCGTCGACATCTAATGGTACCCCGGTGTTGAAGTCGCACCGGAAGTGCGATGTTTCGTTTGCCAACTCGTCAATAAGTTTCTCAAACCTCTGGTCCTTTGCAAATCTGATGGTGTTGCGGTCCAGTGCTGTTGGTAACAGAGAGGTCAAGAGTCCGGTTTCCAAGCAGATTTTCCAAGCCTTTGACTTAGAGATCTCTGTTTGGATGACTCTCTGGAAAAGGTCAGCGCAGTAATCGCTATGTTGCCCCGCTTCTAAAACAAAAGTGAAAGAACTGGTATCAACGCCCGAATTCACCATCGCGAGCGCATCGAGTAGCCAGTAGTATATATGGGTCTCAAACGCTCGATAGCTCAAGCTTTTCTGACCTGGCCTCTCCTTGTTCGCTGCGGGACGGTGTATCATGCGAACTCGGGTAGTTCTCTTCCAGTGGTACGTGCTCTAGGATGAGGCGCACTTTGCTGCTTAGTTCTTGACGGTGTCGTTGCGTCTAGCCAGCATCTTCCAAGTTCTCAATGCCACTTCGTCGGTGCTTTTCTGACACTTGCGGAACTACTTGGCCAATCTACCGGTCGACCGGTATGCTTCTTCGTCGACTAACTGATACGGGGTGACGTGATAGAGCTTATACTTGGGCAGCTTCAATGAGTTCTCGAATGACGAATCATTTTGGGGATTTTCAACCTGTAGCTTATGAAGATATGGACATGCTTGCAAAGAAACTGGCATAGCCCTCGATGTTGATACCCGTGACAATCGCTTCGTCAGAGCTACCACGAATACCCCAAGATACAAGCAGGAGACAATTGTACTGTAATTTCGCAAATCTCCAAATTCATGTTACATGACGGCCTAGGCTGTAGAGAAACCAGTGAGCGCCAATGTACGTGGTTCTCGGTCAAATCCTGCACATAAAGTACCTCGCGGCCTTGCTCAGCCGGATATCCGAAGTCTCTTTTGTGGACAAATGTCACCTATTTTAAGTTGTAGGCTCCTTTCTTGAGGTTGGAGATGTGATGACCAAAGGTAAGAGCCGGTTTCAGAACCACTCCAAGAATCTTCAAACTCCAGGGTTATCGCTGAGTCCATTAGTATCCGGAAGAAGCTTGTAGGGAGGATCTCGTTCGCTGGGGAGGTCGGAAATGCATGACGGTATACATGTGCGGTAAAATGTCAGACCGACGAATGAATCCAATTTGATCGTTTCACCATGGAATATCTTGAACCCAGCGCAGTTCTTCTTACAAAAGTCTGAGACAAAGAGGAGATAGGTACCATCAGCATCAGACAAAAGCAAGACTTCGATGCCGTCCCTTGTTGACTTTCTGGAGAATAGGTGCCGAAAAGATAAGGAGCAGTAACGGAGAGAGAGCCGTACCTTGGGGAATAACAGTATGCATATAGAACCCCGCTGATACGCTCTTGGTTAGCTTCAGTCTGACTATTCGGCAGGACAGTTACGAGTGTATTATCCAAATGAAAGACTCAGCTACTCCAAGGTCTTCAAGCATCCGTAGGATCATTGCAGGGTCGACGCAGTTTTAGGCCCCAGATACATCGGCCCCCAAACCGGCAATGGTGATTCTGAATGCTGCAGGAAATTTGCAGAATCTGAAACACACGCTGGAAAAAGAAGTGCGAGGAGAGGAGCAAGCTCATTGCAACGCATCTTGAGTTGCTCATTGCAGATCAGGTCTTGTCCTAGAGCCTTCTGGGTATGGTGTTTCCCGATGAGGGTTTTGGTCTCTTTCTCTGAGATGTGTTTCTCGATTCAGCGCCGTCTTTCTATTCACCTTCATCGTGGGGAATGGACTCTCTTTGGGGTGATCGAGATCGCTCGTTCCCGTCCATGTCTTGCATCGTATCCTGTCCTGTTTTTCTTCCTCAGTGGAACGCCAATATCATCGATCAGCGCCGGCATGTGCAATCCGTTCGGATAGCATTCTGCATGCCAACTTACCCTGAAAGCAAAAGGCATCCATTGACTAGCATGTTTGTTAAAGGTACTCACGCCAGAGCGTTGGCTTCTTCGGCCGCGGCTCGAGGTCGACTTGAGAAGGAAGTACATCAAGCCCAACGTCGTCCCCAAGCAGTATCTGCCTTGAATGAAGGCCCATCGGTTTCTGTACTGGTGGTGGGTTTACGAGGCGGGGTTCGGTAGTACGGATTGAGGCGGCAAAGATGAGTTCGACGAGCGCTGGCATGAACTCTTCCACATAGTTTGCATCTTGGAGCGGAATTTCGCGAGCGCGTCGCGAGTTCTCCTTGATGTCGACGGTGAATACTGCAGGTTTGGCCTTCCTTTATAGAGACCTCTCTGTCTCGTGTCTGTATGACCTAATGTCAAGAGTTGTCCTGATGGGACAGTGGTCGCTGTCATTCCAAGGGCTATCTGCGAAGACACCCGAATAAGTAACTTGAGAGTGTAGACAGTCACTGACGGAAGTGAGGTCGAGGCATGAACCAGTTGAGTGGTCACCGCCTTTGCCTTTGCTATAGGTGACAGTACCTTGCTTTGTCAAGAAAGCCATGTTAGCATTGGTACTCATCTCGTGCGCTAGCAACCTGCGGGCTGGGATGTCCCAGAACGGGGTCGGCAACGAAGCGCCACTCCATACTATATCATGCAGGCTGAAGTCTCCCATAACGATATGGAGTCGTTCGCGGATTTTCTGCTCATCCAAGAGCTCAATGTTAGTTTTCATTTCGCCCTGATTGATGCGCTACATAGATTGTATCGTAATCGGACCGTCTGCCATTGGTAAGCGGAAGGTTGACACCATATCCTTATTGCGACCTTCATGATACTGAAAATTCTATCGATCTTTCGGGATTAGTTTATGAACGAGAAGAAGACACAGCTGAACCTCACGAGATCCACGTCATCGGTATCGTCTTTCTTAGTGCTTTTCCTTCTTGATGCGCCTTTTGCATTAGCGATGTGGATCGTCAGGGTTATCACTCTCAACAAGCGCCCTAGACGGGCTCATGATGAGATAGCAGTTCTGACTATACCGCCATGAGACCGAGGGTATGAGTCGCATCCGCATAGGATGTCAGCTGTTCCATCGTTGCACCCTTCACGCTGGTACGCGAGAAAGTCTCTTCTACGTTGCCAAGAGCATTTGAAGTTTGCTTGGTCGATGATCAGCTGATGGCGGGCCAGAGACTCCTCGTCCTATTTCTTCTCCCAAAATCCTTTTTCTTCGACTGAGACTGTCTTACGGTTCCCGGTGCATGTGGGCAGGTCTGCGCTTCTACTGAGGGAGAAAGGCTCAAGATGAAGAAGATGACTGACTGGAAGTCCTATTGTTCAAGCGGCTATCAAAGCTAGAACGTCGAATGCGAGTCCTGCTGAGATTTCGCCTACTATGTCTGGTGAAAAAAGTGGCGCGTCATCTAAAGCGATCGAAAAAGGGCAGGTCAGTAGGTCATAATCCCTGCCAGCCAAGGAGCCTGGGCAAAGGACCCTCAGCCAGTTCTTAAAGACTGCTGGAAACGGCTCATCTCCGGGCCCTGATAAAGAACCTTCTTCGTCTCCAGACGCAGACATGACCGGTACGGATGCTGTATCTCTCCATCTCAGTGAGGGGACAGTGGTTGCAAATACCAGTACTCCATCATAAACAGCCGATGCCAGTAGCTCTTCTGCCAGTGATGTTGACAGCTCGCTTGCGACAATGGAAATCGACACGGAGGCTACATCATCGTCAACGCCAGGTGATACTCAGTCGTCTGGCTGTGATGTCAATTGCTCCGCTGCAGGTCTCAGTCACCAACGAGCCACTGAAGGCCAGACACCCCCCGCCAAGTCACCAGAGCCAGGCAACAATACCTAGAAGCGATCCAAAAGTTAGAAAATAAGGAGCACTAACAACAGCCGCCAAAGAAAAGATAAACCAGACACCAAACGCGCAGTAGCACACCCACGCGCTGTATTATGCGATTTGAACAAGCAGTATCCGCCTGAAAGGAGATGTCAATGGTGCCCTTTCTTTCTTTGTGAGATGCCAGTCAACTAGCGCCCCGTTTCATTCATCTCTCGGGTTATCCTGTTATCTTGATCTCGCTCTTGCGTTATCTATCAACTGAGGAAATTCCGCCACTCGAATATGGCGAATCTGATTATGTGCATATCTGAGACACAACCAATCCTCATTATAATCTCTCGCCATGGCTGACTCCCCATCATAATAATGGTGGTTTTTGCATTCAATATTATACCAGTTGCTCTTTTTGTGCAGTTGCAAAGATGCTGAAATTCTTACATCAGCTTCGAACAGACAGTCTTCGAATTTCAGTTGCGACCTAACAAAGATATCATGACACTTGCAAAGCAACGAAGACGTCATTCCTGGCACGGCCATGGACTCTACACAANNGAGTATGACTCAGTCGTTTGTGCAGAGGCCGTATGGCCAAGAGCTGTGAGATACATGTGCGGTGTGCACTTGAGATCTGTCGCTGAAAGTCTGAGATTGATAATCTACACCTTGACTTAATTTACGAGTACAATGTGACTTCGGGTATGTATTTGTGCTATAGTGGGAACTGTATCAGTTGCAGGCATATGAAGGGCAACTCTAGATTCAGCCAAGTAGTTTGAGACTCGTAACAGCATCCTAACGTTTCACCTGCAAAAAGTAGAATGCAAATAAGCACTTTATTGTACTACCTATCAACAGCGACAGATGGTCGTGGTCGGTTCGTGGACGCTTTGTATTCTTCACCCTTCTCGAGAGTTCTGCAACGCCATTGCAGTAAACATCTTTCCTCAATCCAATCCACTCTTCCGATGCTACTCTGTGCGTAGACGCTTCCCATTGCTTGCATCAGCAGGTCCACCTGCGCTTGTGTCGCCATCGTCGTTGTTGCCAGTGCCATGGACAGTGTGCAGGAATGTGACCAGGTCTGCAATAGACTTCTTAAGAACCGGGACTCGATCAGTGCTCTTCTTGATCTCCGAGATGTCCGCGGCCAAAGAGTCGACAATATCCATAACTTCTTTCACCTTCTCTTCTAGATTGGCGATGTCATGTCGAATGTCGCCCAGAACTTCGTCAAGGCTCACTTAGTCAACTCCCTCTTCGTCGTTTGCTCCCGCAAGGCTGTCCGCGGAGAGGACCTTCTCCAGAGGGCATTCAGCGTTCCCGACTCCGATGTTGATATCCGTGAAAAGCTCGTCATATCTTTCCGCCGGGAGGGAGTTGAAGTCGATGTCCCTGGACGAAAACTCACATCCCCAGTGAGTTTCCATGGTATTGATGTCTAAGTTGNNGCTTGTTCCGGCAGAGAGAACCCAGTGAGTTTCCATAAACTCCTTGGCTGGCGCAAGCGAAGGGTTGTTGGCTCCCAGTGTAACTGCCAGGAAGAACCTCTGAGGGAAGGTGACCGCGAGGAGCGCTTTGGAGTTCTTGCGTATCTTGGTCTTCGCAGCGACCTCTTGGAAAACTGAATTATGGCCGGGATCATCGTAGTCGGTCATCACAGACTCTCCGACGAACACACTGAGATCGAAGGCCAGATTGTTAGCCAGGTCGTTAGGCATCTGACTTTTGATCTTTGTATATTCTGTTTTCATGATCTCGCAAAGCGCCTTGCCCTTGTCTCCCATTGAGGGTTCCTTCAACTGTTGCTCCAGGAACACGTTGAACAGCATCGCATTCACAAAGGGGGCCTTCACCATCTTCACAGGCGCTGATGGTTTAAGGATTGGCTTTGGGTCAAGAGGTACTAAAAGGCCTGTTAGCATGAGGTGACAAATGATATTCAGACTGCACTAGGAGCCTCACCATGTTGACGGCCAGGGGATGACGATCCGCCTGCCTCCATGATTGTCGTTGAAAGCGATGCTGACCGTGCAGACTCAGATGAGGCTGGAGCTAATATATATAAGATTAAAATAAATATAAAGTGCATGACAGGATAAGAATATAACTCGCCGGCCTCACCTCGCAAGAGGTGGAGGTTGAAGAGGAGAAGAAAAGGAGAATGAAATGGAAGGGGCCGAGAATTTAGGTGCACATCTGCCTGGCCCTGCTCCACCTTTCCCCACTTTTGCTGAATTGGCCCTAAACTCATCATAAAGTCATCAAACATTTAGACGAGATTTATCATAAACTTGACAAACATTTGGCGCTACTCTAGGAGTAACTACGCCGGAAATCAGGGCCACATACGATAGCAGCTTTTCTGAGGTTACGCAGGCCCAGTCAGAGCAACTGAAACAGCTC